GATGGTAAATAGTGGATATTCAGAGATAATAATTTTGAATAAAGACCTGAAGAAAGTGAGCGAACCAGGTGGCTATCTATGGAAGGGGATATTCCAAGCAGAGAATGCAGCATAATTAAAGGCCCTGAGTAGAAGTGTTTCTGGTATTTTCAAGGAACGTTAAGGAAATTAATGTATCTGGCACATACATAAACTAAGGGAAGAAGAGTAGAAATGAGGTCAGAGAAAAAATGAGGAGCCAGATGACATAAAGTTTTGCAGGTAACAGGAAAAACATTAGCTTTACCTCTGAGGTAAGCAGAAGCCACTGGAAGATTGTGAGCATGAACCCATTTAAAAATATCAATGGGATCACTTTACCTACTGTGTAGAGAATAGAGTGTAGTGAGCAAAAGTAGAACAGAGAGACCATGTAGGGACTTATTACAATAATCTGGGTGAAATATCATGGTGGCTTGGACCAGAGGGATGGTCCTGAGCATTGTGAAAAATGATAAAAACAAATTTAGATACATTCTTAAGGGAGAGATTATAAAGTTGCTGAAGGATTGAACCTAGGCAGTGAGAGAAAAGTCAGGGATGCCTTCAGGATTTCTGGTCTGAGTACCTGGAAGAATACGATTGTCATTAACAGGAGTACAAATTTGGGATTCACCAGTATAAATGACACTTAAAGCCACCAGATGGAATGAAATAATCTACTTAGCAGGTACAGACAGAAAAAAAAAAAAAGCCACCTCAGCAATTAGAGGTTTGAAAAAGAGAAATCAGCAAGAAAACTGTAAAAAGAACAAGAGAAAAAGGTGGGTATCTTCTGAGTCTTTCCCTAGAATATGAGAGAAAGAAATGTTCAATGAAGAGTGTAAAATTGAGTGCAACACTGATGGCAGGCAAAGTAAGAAGACTGAGAATGGAGCATGCAATTTAACAACATAGGGTCATTCACATTCAAGAAAAGGGTGGTTTGCTGGTGTGATGGAAATAAAATCTTAGTGAAACATGTTTAAGGGAAGTGGAAAAGAAATTGTCAGCACTTTCAAGGAATTTTGCTGTAAAGGAAAGAACCAACATGGGACAGTAGTTAGAGGGAAAAATTGGGTATAAAGAGGATTTTTAGAATTTGTACTCCTAACCACTATGATACACCATTTAATTTAGTAAAACTGAAAAACTGGTCATCAAGGAGCTCAGAAGGTAGCAGAGGAGTAGAAATACAATTAATTGTATTGTTCAGGTTCAGTAAGAACAGTGAATCACAGCTTAAATACTATAGGAGAACAGAAAAGAATGGAAAGGAGAAAAGAAAGTTATCACAGAGATGTCTTCTAAACTGGATTTTTAAAAATCCAGAATTTCACTGTCCAGAGGTCCTGGAATGAAAGGATGGCAGAAATAGGGAGGAAAATATTCCAGGTAGAAAGAACAGCTCTAAGAAAACATGCAAAGTGTAAAAATAATTGCATGGGAAATGATGAATAATCTGGTGTGCCAGGACAGTGGCATGGCAGCTGCTCACGGTGCACAGGAAGAATGGGACGATGGATTATGCTGGAATGAAAATTAATAACAGATTTAAAATGCCCTTGAATGCCACAATAATAGTTTAGTTTGGGGCATAAAAATCTATTAGCAAACATTTGAAAGTTAGAAAACTGACATGACTTTCTGAAAGATAAATGATGAGAAGTTAAGAACAGATTAAAATGGGCCCCTCTGTCAGAATAAAGCATGGTCAGCATGCTAAAAAGGAATCAGTACACTTTCTTTTAATAAAAGTGAATGTACTGGATCTAATTAAAATTCTACTCAAGTGAATCCAACAACACCCACATGCTTCTCCAAAAATGCAATTGTAAGAACACGGTTTTCTTGTAACACTTTCCAAGAAAACAGTATTTTTGTGGGAGATTTTAGAAAAAGGTGAAGCAGAGATATAATAAATAAATGAAAACAAACACATACAGGATAGATTGTACAAAAATTCAGTTTCTCCATAATCACATAATATTTATTAAATTATTGTAACATTATTATTTTGTGCCTTTTGTATGCTAATACATATTGAAATACTTAAAAGAAAAACAACTTAAAAATTTGCCGTAAATAGCTATCATTTAAGGGAGCTCCAAATAATCTTCAGTTTAAAAGATACAGATCTTTTAATTTCAACTTGACCACACATTATGAATTAAATGATTACCTTCAATATTGTGTGATAGTTTGTAAGATCTGAGTTTTCACTTTCCTATTTGATTATAGCAAAATCACAATTAAAATTAAACATTACATGATTATAGGTCGCAAAATAGTATATATTTCTTGCATGTATTTCCATATATATTGCTATATATTTCTTGTAAATGTATTTGTATATATTTCTTATTATACAAGAGGATAATAAAGTGAAAAAAGTGTACAAATTGGATTTCCCTGTTCTCTTTCCAAGTGTTTAAAAAGATATTTTTAATCCATAAAATTCCTTCCTTGGCATTTTATTCCCCTTATAAAGTTTCCATTATAGATATGGACTATTTATAAATAATTTTCTATAAATTATTGAGTTTTAACATAAATGAGGTAAATCACAATTATAAGTAATAAAGTTAAAATGTTATCCTTAAGACCCTGAAAAAGGTTTACTTCTAATCTTAGGCTATATAAACAATTATACTTAAAGAACTTTCAGAGCAATGTTTCAATTATTCTAAAACAGTATTATTACTGGAAGATGATTTATTTTTGCTAGAAGGAAAAATTTTAAAAATGCAAAAGAAGAAATTAAGTGACCTTATTTTCTGTCTTTAGTACTATTGCTGGCCAGTGATTCCAATCAAGTTAACCTTGATTTACAATGCTAATACAAAGAGTCTTGCAACTTAACTCACATTAAAAATATCTCAAAGAGAATTTACCATTAAAAATAAGGAATGTAAATAATAGGTTGATGGGTGTAGTAAATCACCATGGCACATGTATACCTATGTAAGAAACCTGCATGTTCTGCACATGCACCCCAGAACTTAAAATAATAATAAAAATAAACAAATAAGAATGGGATAGTGAAAACATTTCTGGACTATGAATTTAGTCCTGATCCTGGTTCTTTCAGGCTATATGACTTTAGACAAGATTTTAATCACTTAAATTTTCTTATCATTATGAGGTGCCTATACTAGATATTGGGAGTACAATATGTGGCTCAGCTGACTCTGGCGTATAGCCTGATAAAAGATTAATATTTTAGTGATACTGAATACAAACAATAAGCACTTATAAAATATGTGTAAGGCACAAAGAATGTAAATAAAACAAACCCTTGTACCCAATGCCAAACTTGAGAAATACATTACTAGTATTAAAGACCTAGATTTCTATATGTGCTCCTCCTGTTCCCTACCTCATCACTCTGCATAATAATCCACTGCCCCCCCACCACTCCCAGAGGAAACTATGACACTGAATCTTGCGTTTACCATTCTTATGTTGTTCTTGCCTGTTTACCACATATTCATACTCCTAAATTATTATTCAGTTTGCTCTTTTCTGAATTATATAAGTGGAACCATTTTATAGGAGTTTTTCTGAGATTTCAGTTAAAATCATATTATCAAGATTCAACCACATTGGTGCATGTAGCTGTAATTCATACATTTTCACTGTGGTATATGAAGTACTTCACTATATACATGAGTATAATACAATTTATCCATTCTTCAATTAATGAGCTTTTTGTTTCTGGGTTTTTCCTCTTATAAACATTGTTGCTATTGATAATTCTTGTAAAAGTTTCTAAGAGCATACATATAAGATTTTGTGTCATATATATATACTTTGGTGTAAAACTGCTGAGACGTGTATATTTATTTTCCACTTTATTAGATAATGCTAACTTGTTTTCATTTCATTCATCTTCTGTGGGTTTTCCCTCAATTTTATTTATATATGCGCTGATCTTTATTTTTTCTTTCTTTCAAATTTTGGGTTTGCTTTTCTAGTTCCTTGATGTATACTATTAGGTCATTTATTTCAAGTTTTTCTACTTTTATGATGTAGGTGTTTATTGCTATATAAACACCCACATCATAAAATATTTTGATGTTTTGCTATATATTTTGCTCTTAATATTTCTTTTGCTGAATCCTATAGAGTCTGGTATGTTGTCTTCTAACTTGGATTAGTGTTCATTGAGTCAGCTTGAAATAGTTCAAGTGTTATGTTTCATCATCTCAACACCCTGGCATAGAGGTGCTCAATAGACGATGAAATTTTACTGTGGATGTATACTGGTAGGCCACTACAGTCTGATGCTTCCTACAATTTACTCCAATGAAAATGTTCATACAAATTTTTTTGAACTGAACTCTTAATACATTACTAAAGCAAAGTTCCGATTTTTTTTCTCACTTTTAATGGTTAGAGAGGATCTTTATAAGGAGTCTGTAATATCCCCTAGGATTATGTACATTATTTTCTGGGGAGGGATTTGGGTTTTCATCTTTGAATTAGGGTCTGAATCACCCCTTTAAAAATAGCAATTTAGTGAAACAACATATGGGAAGATCTATAACTCAGGTAAAAGAAATCGTTATATGTAACTTCCTTTCAAGATGAGAAAGAAAAAAGTTGAGGCTGAGACCGAATAATGCCCCTTTTAATTTAATCCACTGTAGCTGAAAATCATCAAGCACAATAACTGATTTTAGAAAAGACCAAGAGGAAATTTTGTAGGACAAAATACTGGGCCTGTCTAATGCAAAAGAGGCAAAGGTAGGGGGTGTGGGGGAAGAGGGACAAATAAATATAGGTGAAATCTTAAAAAGATAATTAAAATATGTTGAATATTAATAAAGTTTTACGCATTTCCAGTCTCAGAACTGTGAAGCTTTAAAGTGCATTAAGAGAATTGCAGGCACCATCAAATACCAAATTGATGGAATTCAGAAGAACAACAATCTGAAGCCTTATTTTTAAGAAGGCCTTTAAAAGATAAGGCAAATGTGTGTTAGCTCTGCTATCTGGCCTTTTAATGAAGTTAAGTTACATGATTTTTAAGCATGCTCTGTTGAAAATTCCTTTTGAATAACAATAGGGAAATAAATACATAACTTGCAATTTCTATGAGTTGAATATGTAGATGATAAAACTGGTACAAATACTGACTGAAAGCCACTTAAGAAGAGATGTCTGGTTACCTTGTATACATCGTAACATTCATTGTAGGTACTTTCATACATACGGATTTAGTTCAGGAATCTCAGGGCAAGTTAGATGAGCATCTCTGAATGAGCAATGCATGACAGGAATCACAAACCCGTACTGGTTTTGGTGAAGAAGGCAAAGGTAGTTCGTTGTCAGAGCAGGCATTACAGAAAATTTCCCCACAGTTTCTACAGTGGTGCTTTCTCTTAGAGAGTGAGAATTCCTTTTCACAAAGTTTACAATGTGTTGCTTCTTTGTCTTTCAGCCAAACCAGTCCCTGCAATGCTTTGTTGGCTTCTTTTATGTCTTCAATTTTAAGTTTTGATTCGCTAAGTTTGTTGCCGAGTTCTTGAAGAGCTTGCTCTTGTCCGTGATATATTTTTTTCAACTGCTGATTTTCATCCTGGAGATTAAGGAACTCTTTTTTAAGACTAATAATTTGTTGAATCTCATTTCTAAGATGAGATAAGGCATCTTTCTCCTTTTGAAGATCTTCCTGCAAAGTCTGCCTCCATTCCTTCTCAATCTTCAAGTCAGTTTCCAGTTGCACCAGCTGTTTCTCCTTTTGGGAGATTTGTTTCTGCAGACTGTCAGATTTACTGAGACATTCTTGTAGATATTTTTCGTCTTCATTTTCAGCTTCCATTTGCGCCTTCTCTGCTTGCTGCAATCTTTGTTCCAGCTGCCTCATGGCTGCAGTAATTTTATTGGTTTTTTCTTCTAGTCGGGCAATTATTTCATTCTTTTCTTTCAAGCCATCTTCAGAAGCCTGCAACTTTTGATACATCTCTATGTTAATTGCTTTAACTTCCTCTAGTTGTTGTCGAAGACCTATCAGAGTATCTTGTTTCTCATGGATATCTTTCTCCAGCAACTTCATGGCAAGTTCAATCTCATGCTTCATACTAACTTGTACCGCGAGCTCATTCGCCACATTCTGTCGTAACTGAGATTCATCTCGAAGCTGCCTTCTGGCTTCATTATACATTTCATCTAGCCCCTGACAAGAATGCTTACATGTTTGAAGCTCAGTTTCCACATCTACTTTGGTAACCTCTAGGTGCTGCTGTGTTTTCATTAAAATCAATTTATTTTCACTTCGTAATTGATGATTTTCTTCTTGGAGTTTAATGATATTATTCTTTGCTATTGCTAACTCTTCAATCAGCTTAGTATTTGACTTTTCTAATGAATCAACTCGTGAATGGAGGCTGCTGACTGTGCTGTTCAGTTGTCTAATTCTTCAACATAATTCTTTTGGTCTAATATGGCAGCAATTTGAACATTCCTTTATTTTCAATATCTTCTTCATTCTTTAAATACATAGAAAAATCAATCACTCCAACTTATGAGTCTAAATCCTCTCCCTTCAGGCAAAGATTAGCATCGATCACATTCAGGCCAACCAGCAGCCCAACAATTACTGCTCCTTCTTCTTCCATCATTAGTGCATGATACTCATAAAACTCACTCAAAAGATCTCTCTGAATAATTAAGCAACGCAGATAATCAGCCACTTTTTTTTTGCATGAGGGCTAACCGAAGCCATGCTCTTGCTCGACCCAGAGGGGTCTTCAGACCAGGAAGATCCGGGACACTGGCTCCTATTTCTTCTGCTTCCGGGTACAGCTTCTCCACCAGTTCCAAAGGGCCCCAGATGGTTTTGTTATAACTCAAAAATGATTTTCTTACTTTAAGACTATGCTTCAGACAATGTTCCATAACAACAAAGAATTGCTGCAAGGGGGGATAGTCAGAATCCAAAGTGCGGCCAAAGCTCAGAGCAGATTCAATGAGTCCTTTGATACTCAGTTTAGCCATGTTTAACAAGTTTGCTCTCTCTACAGCTGTGGGGTCTTTTGCAGCCATGGCGGCGGCGGCCGTGGCGGCGGCGGCTACTGCGCGGTCTCGGGCCAGGGCTCCCTGGGCCTGGCCAGCAGCTCCCTCCAGGCGCTCGGCGGCCGCCACCCCATCTGCAGCCAGGCACGCTGCGGCCCACAGCGCCCCCGGCGGTGGGAGGACGCCCGGGCGGCCCCAGGGGAAGCGGAGCCCCGAGTGGGGCGGGGACCACGGAGCCTGCAGTGGGCGGGAGAGCAAGCCCGCCCTCTCTAAGCCTCCCGCATCTGCTGAGACCTTGAGGAGAAGGAAAAGAACCTGAGACCATGAGTGTGAGGAGCCAGAGTGCTGGGCCCTCGGTCCCGCGCCCCAGGGACTTCGCAGGAGTGCGAGGGCCGGATTTCAAGCGGCGGCTGTTTCAATAGATTTTAAAAATTTCCTCTTTAACTTCTTAACTGACCCATTGGTCATTCAGGGTCACGCTGTTTAATTTCCATGTATTTGTACAGTTTCCAAAGGTCCTCTTGTTATTAATTTCTAGGTTTATTCCATTGTAGTCAGAAACAATACTTGATATGATTTCTACTTTTTTGAGTTGGTTGAGACTTGTTTTGTGGCCTAACATATGATCCTGGGTAATGATCCATGTGGTGATGAAAAGAATATATATGCTGTTAACACAAAGTTTCTTTGGTATATTTCTGTCTCCATAATCAGTACATTACTAAAAGTGAGGTGTTCAAGTCCCTGCTATTACTGTACTGCAATCTATCTCTCCCTTTAGATCTATTAATATTTGCTTTATAAATTTTCATGCTCTGTTGCTGGGTGCACATACAATTGTTACATCTTGCTGAACTTACGTGCTTATCATTATATAATGACCTTCTTTGCCTCTTTTGGCTTGAAGTCCATTTTATGTGATGTAAGTACAGCTGGCTCTTAAACAACATGGGGATTAGGGGTGCCGATACCCTGTGCAGTAAAAAATTTGTATGTAACTTTTGACTGCCCCAAAGCTTAACTACTAATAGTCCACTTTTGACTGGAAGCTTTACCAGTATCATAGTCAATTAAAACATATTTGTATTTCACAGAAAGCACAAGTTTTTCACACTTGCTGTTATAGCTGCAGCAAACAAGTTAGGAATTTCCTTTTCTCTTTTTACATTAGTCCTTATGCTGGGTTCATTTATCTTGAAATGGTGGGCAACCACAGCTGCAAATTTCAATCTATAGAACATATCAAGTAATTCAACTTTTCTTGTAATGTCATGACTTTTCTCTGCCTAACAGGAACACTTCCAGCATCACTAGTGGCACTTACTATGCATATCATGGTGTTGTTATTCATGGTTTACGGTACTGCACTAAAGACAAAAAATACACGAGAACTGTGAGAGATCACTTTTTACTGTGATACACAATCCACTGGAGAAACAAATTGCTCACGCTGAGATTTGCAACACGCAGTGTTTTAAACAAATACAACACTTGAATTCACAGCAATGCCAACAAAAGGTGGCTATAAAATTGTTACACTATATACAGCTAATTTAATGTGGTTATGATTTAATACTTCATATTTACATGAGCTTACATTTCTCTTGACTGTGAATAGTGCCACGTATGGTCTGTGTTTGTCTGCATAAGTTTTTACATAAATTTTGACTTTTATTATAGATTTGCATATATTTTATGGTAGTAAATGAGAATATATATATATACATATATTATGCATTCAAGATATACCTCATTTTCTTAAATTTTTGATATTTTTACGCTACATGGTTTGTATGCAAGTTTATTCAAATGTCACAAATCTCTTTAAAAAATGGCATGTAAGTGGACCTGCACTGGATTTTTGCTTTTCTAGTTTCTTGAGGTATACTATTAGGTCATTTGTCTCAAGTTTTTCTACTTTTCTTGATGTAGGTGTTTATTGCTATATATTTTGCTCTTAGTATTTCTTTGGCTGAATTCTAGAGTCTGGTATGTTCAAATCTGTGTTGTTCAAGGGTACCGATAGCAATACCTGTTCTTCTTTGGTTTCCATTTGAATGGAATATCTTTCTTCCATCTCTGTACTTTTGGTCTATGTGTGCTGTCTTTATAGATGCAGTGAGCTTCCTGTAGGTAGCATATAATAATAGCTGGGTCTTGTTTTTTTGATCCATTTAGCTACTCTGTATCTTTTAATAATTTTGTCCATTTACTTTCAACGTTATTACTGATAGGTAAGGATTTACTACTGCCATTTTGTTACTATGAAAAAGCTAAAAAAAAACTCTATACTTTTAACAACATTGCCCCTACATTTTGACTTTTTGATGTCTATTTTTTTATGCCCATCTCTAAACAAATGTTATGATTATTATTGTTGATGTCTTTTTGTCTTTATACTAGAGATATGAATTGCATGCATACCACATTTACAATAGTAAGAGTCTTCTGAATTTTTGTCTGTGCACTTACTTTTACCAATGAGTTTTATACCTTGAGCTGATTTTGTTGCATGTTAGCATCCTTTTCTTTCAGATTGAAGAACTCTCTTCAGCATTTCTTGTAAGACACCTCTGGTGGTATTACATTTCTTCAGCTTCTGTTTATCTGGGAAAGTATCTCCCTTTATATTTGAAAGATAGCTTTGCTGGCCACCATATTATTGGTTGACAGTCTCTTCAGCACTATGAATGTCCTCCCACTCCCTCCTGGCCTGAATTTTCTACTGAGAACTCTGTTGCCAGATGAATTAGAGCTGCTTTTCCCTTGCAGTTTTTTTGATCCTTGCTTTGTCTTTTACCTTTGAGATTTTGATTATTACATGTCTTAGAGTAGCCTTAGTTGAGTTGAGTTCAAAAGTCTTTGGCCTTCCTATATCAGAGTATTTGTATTATTTCCTGAGTTTAAAAAGTTTTCTGTATTATTTCCTTGAGTAAGCTCTCTATCCTTTGCACTTTTTCAAATCTCTTGTGAAGTCTGCTATAATCTGAATACTTGACCCTTCCAAACCTCATGTTGAAATGTGATCCCCAATGTTGGAGGTGGGGCCTAATGGGAAAAGTTTAGGTCATGGGGCAGATCTTTTGTGAATAAGTTATTGCCCTCCCAGGTTGGGGGACAGTGAGTGAGTTTTTGCTCTCTTAGTTTCCACAAGACCTGGTTGTTAAAAAGAGACTGACACCTCCCCTCTCTTTTGCTTCCTCTGTTGCCATGTGATTTCTGCATATGCTGTCTACACTTTGCCTTTTGTCATCAGTGAAAGTAGCTGAGGCCCTCCTCTTCAGAAGCCAAGGAAATATTGGGACCATTTTTCTGTATAGTCTGCATAACTGTGAGCCAAATAAGCCTATTTTCTTTATATATTACTCGGCATTAGTTATTCTTTTATAGTAACATAGAAATGAATTAAGGAAAAGGCCATGACTTAAATTTACTCTTTTGAGGTTATTTTCTAGATTTTCAAGGCATACTTCATTCTTTTGTTTTTTGCCTCTGACAGTGTATTTTCAAATAGACTGTAGGCTACTTTCTTTCAGCATTTTGAAGATATCACTGACTTCCGGCTTCCACTGTTTATGCTGAGAATTCAGCTGTTAGACTAATTTAGTTCCTTTGGGGGTATTCTGCTTTCCTTCTTCACTCTTCTCACCTCTGATTACTTTAAGATTTTTCCCTTTATTTTCAGCAATTTTACTCTTATGTGTCTAGAACTTGTTTTCTTTTTACTTCAGCATAACATTTGTGTACCTCCCAAATCTGAAGATTGATATCTTTTTGTCAGGATTGGAAAATTCTTAATATTGCTATTGCCCTATCCACTGTCTCATCTTCTCAGACTGCAGTTAACATATACATGAAACCTATTCCCTGTATTCCACATAACTGTTAGTCTTTGTTTTCTACTCTGTGTTTCTGTTTTTTGATGCATCATTATAGATATTTTCTTCTGACCTGTATTTTAGTTCATTAATTATTTCTTTAGCTGTGTCTAAAATGCTGTTAAGACTATCCATTGATTTCTTGATTTTAGTCATTTTATTGTTCAGTTCTAGAATTTTCATTTGTATTTTTTTAATGTTTTGGCTCTCTGACAAAAATAATTTATTTCAATATGCATATTGAGCATAGTTTTTAAATTAAGCTTTTAATTTTAAGAGAATTATAAAATCACATGCAGTTGTAGGACAGAATAAGGATTGGCGTGCTCTTCATTTAGTTTTCTACAATGTCTCAGGATGGTAATATTCAGGATACTGATTTGGATGCAGCCAAGACACAGAACACCTCTATCACCACAAGAATCCCTCACGTTGCTGTTTTACAGCCATATCCACTTCCTGCCTACCCTACCCTCTTTTCCTACCTCAGCAACCACTAATATCTTGCCATTCTATAATTTCATCATTTCAAGAATATATATAAATAGAATTACATAGTACATAACCTTTTGGTATTGGCTTTTATTCATTCAGTATAAATCTCTGGAGATTCACTCAGGTTGTTGTGTGTATCCACAATACTCTTTGTTTTATGCTTAGTATTTCATGGTATGGATTATTATAGTTTGCTTAAATACTCACTCACTGAAGGACGTCTGGCTTGTTTTCAGTTTAGGCAACCAGGAATAGAGTTGCTATAAACATTTGTGTACAAGTTTTCGTGTAAAGATAAGTCAGCCTCTATTGATACCTAAAGGACTTTGTTGTTGCTGGGACTTCCAGATTCCCACATGATCTCCACTGACACCATGATAGGGGTTACCTTGTTACTGCTGAGAAATGGTGAAATTCCTGATCCTCTACTAGGCCTTTGTTGATACAAACCACCCTAGTGGGGAGAAAAAGGGGTGTCATAGTACAGCTGGGTGGGTAGGGAGTACAGGCTTCTCACATGGTCTCTATGACACTGTGGTAGTAGTACTGGGTTATTTGTTATTATGGTTGGATAAAAGTCCTATTTTCCTATTCAGCCTTCTCTAATACCACTCCACAAAGGGGTTATAAGAAAGTTTCATTACAGCCCAGCAAGGGTGCAAGTGTAGGTTTTTCATGTGGCCTTTGTTGGCATAGGTCAGAGTGGAGCCACAGGTTTTTCTGTTTTTATTTTGCTATAGTATGGCAATTATGCATAAAAG